GAGACAGGGTGCGGGAGAGCCATCTGTTTTGTATTCTGAAAGCTGTCATCCCAACCTAGAGAAATCAAGAACCTATCTAACTTAACCAAATCGGGGATTCCTGATTGTTTGTCCAGGTGAACTGAGCCCCAATCAGGGGTAGATCCATCAACTCAAGCTGATTCACAAATTCCCTAAATCTTCTCATTTCTCTGGTTCTCCATGCTCCTCCCTTTCTTTCTTCCATAAACCTCACCACATTGAAATCTCCCTTATCACCCATGGGATGGAATACGCACCTCTAGCATCTGCAAGATCCTCCCAGAGTCTCTCTCTCTCTCTCTCTGAGTATTCAGTTAGACCATACACATTAGTGAACTGGCCTTGGAATCCCCCCTCTAGTTCCAGAATAACCAACACTGAAAAATTCCCAACATGCGAAGAAATCAGTTTGCATTTTAACTTATCCCACATGATTAACAGGCCCCCTGCACTGCCTCTAGCTAGTTTGCCCACCCACCTTACTTAGCCTTGGCCCCAAATACTCCTTACTACTCTGGCATCTACTGTACCCAGCTTAGTTTCTTGGAAAAAAAACCACATCCGACTTCCACCTCTTCAGTAAATCATAAACCACCATCCTCCTCCTACCTAACCCTAGTCGCCTCACGTTCCACGAAAAAATTTTTAACTCCATAAGACTAAGAAGAGCAAACCCAACAACCCCCTGAAACTACACCTTGACCTTCCTTGCCCCCCCCCCCTCGAAGGACCTTCCCCTTTCCCGGCCTTCTCATTTAGACCCCATGACAGCCTCATTATCTCCTACTTTTCTTCGCCCCATTTCCCCCCTTTTTTTACATTTAGTTTTCCTTTTTCTTCTAGCCACCTTTTTTCAATGTTCTCTAAGTAATGACTCGTTTCTTCCTCCAGACCAGCAATGGAGACCCCCAAGAATTTAAATAGTCCCAAAAGTTATGAATTTACCCACGCCAAAGTGGCTTCTACCCCCTTCCCCTTAACTCCCTCCCTCCCCTACCTTCCCTCCCTTCTCCATTTCCCTCTGACATCGCCACCCCACTACCTTCTCCCTCTTCCCTCCCCATAACCAAAGTACATACCTGGCTTTTGTCTTCTCCTGAGTTCTGAGTCAAACTTGCAACAAAGGCTTCCGTAGCTTCTGGCATTGCCAGAGGAGTTGCCAAAACTGGACTAGTGAAGGTTGTAAGCGCCAGAGACCCACTTTTACCTTTCTCTTGCATCACTGGAGATGGTTTTTCCGGCTAGGGATTCCTTGGCTGCTGCAGAGATGCTTGAAGACTTTCCTGCTCTGGAGTCTTACGAAATTCTTCGAGATGAACTGGACCCCTCCTATTTTCTGTGCATGTCTAGGAAGGGGCTGCAAGCCAGTTTGGACCTTCTAAAGCTAAAGGCCCACTCTCTACCCAGCTCTTTTGAGCCAGGTCCGGGTTCGAATCTAACCAGTTACCACTAGGTTGGCCCCGACCAGTTGAACCAGGTTCTTTGCTCCTCAGCAAACTGGGCTCTTCTAACCAGTTACCACTAGGTTGACCCCGACCGGTTGAACCAGGTTCTTTGCTCCTCAGCAAACCGGGCTCTTCCACACCTGCCCCTCCCCTGCTTCCCATAAGCTCCACTGCCTCCAACCTTTCTTGACTTTTCAATTCTTTCGAGAGGCTAGCTGGCAACAGATTCAGTTCCTGTAAACACTCTGGTAGTGCTGCTTTAAGCCACGATTTTGAACAACCAGCCCAAATTTGACTACTATTTGAATTTTGAACCTCTATCTTTTTACCGCCCAACTCCCAAAGCTCCATCGGATGGCCCTCAGGAGAGGGATCAGGAATCGATTCCCTCCATGAAAGTGGAGAGGGGTCAATGGAACCTGTATGCAGCACTTATTGATTCTTCGCCTCGTCTCCCCCTTTGTCTTCCCTGTCTCCTGAGATCTCCCCTCCCCACAGCTTTCTTCCTCTTCATCTACCAGAACTAGCACCCTGCTCACCATTGACTCCTTCTCTCCCTCTTTCTCTAGGTTCCTCTCCTCCCCTAATCCCAGCCCTCTCAACACCCTTCAACCCACCCGTGGCCTTCTTTCCTGCCAAATCCACACCCAAACAGAGAAGTCCCCAAAGACTATTTGCACTTTTTCTGGGATCTCTCCCCCCGACTTCACCTTTATTCTTACCTACTCACAAGTTTTTAATTCTTCAATAAAGTCATATGTTCCTAGAAAGCCCCCACAGAGGTTACCAATCCCCTCCACTATACTCAGACACCAGAGAGGCAGTGACAGTCTGAATACTTTAATCCAGACCTCCTTTGGCTCGGGTGCCCCCATTTTCTCAGGAGAAAAGCTCATCATCGTCTCTTCCCACCAGTCCAGCGCCAATCTGTTCTGACTGAGACTCCAAGGTCCATTTGATAGAACCCAATTCGCCCCATCCTTGGAAAGAGAGATGAATAGGTACAACTCTTCAATCAGCTTCTTCACCCCCACCCCTCCCACCTCCCCCCAGCACCCTGCCACTCAGTATTCCACTTCCTCTACCGTAACTCTTCTGTCAAAGCAGCCCACCAGACATCTCTGCAGGAAGGAAATTCTCACACAAACTCCCTCTTCCAAGGTTTCTAAAACTAGTCTCTCTCCAACTTTCCTGGGTTCTGTTAGCCCAAAACTTGGCCAGACTCCCACCATCTCCACTTTCTTGAATGAGAGGTTCCTCCTTAACCTAGCTTTTGATCGGCCTGGGTTATACCACATCTCCACTCCCCATCTCCTTCCTCCTCCTCTCCATTTCTGATTCTTTTCCATCTATTAACGAGATTAAACCCTTCCTTTCCTTCTACCTTCTCCTTCCGATGGGCCTCTTTCAGGTCGCATCAGTCCCCACCTTCACGTCAGTCCCCAACAGAAAGAAATAAGTAGGACTAAAACTTGTCTATAAGAAGAGAAGCTTGTAAAGGAGTCTGTGTTCTATGCATTGTCTTCAAAAACTCTATCATTCCACTTCTTTCTGAAAAGGAAACTAGTATTTCACTCAACCCATATACTCCACAAGATGACTGATCTAGTGCATTGCCACATTATATTTTTCCTTATCAATGTGACAAAAAACAGTTTGTGTACAAAACAGATCATTAATATCTAAGAGAAGTGATCATGATACCCCAACAACAAGGATAATGTGGTTCAATACTCAAAAACAAGCAGCTAGTCCTCCGCCTTCATGGTAATATCTCACACGTATAAATGATCTGAAGGACAATCTCACAAAGCCTTAACTCTGGGTGGACAAGAACCATTCCAAATAATTTTAATAGGGAAAGGGTGTGGAAAAGGGTTTTCCAAATAAAGGGATGTGAAGATGATGCAAAGAATAGACACCACTTGGAAAACGGGAACAAATTCTCTTATCAGAACCAGGAGAAGAAAACCCATTTAAGGSCAAAATTAAGTTCATAATTTGTGGAGTCTCAAAATCTCTCAACCACCTCTAAGACAGATCCCAAGAAAGACCCCCATTTGAGAGAGAACCCAGAGAAGCCATGGTAGAAATGGATTTATAATTATTGTTGGCAGACAAGGCATAAATTCTAGCAAAAGGCCTGAGATGGTGGTGTCTCCACAACAGATCTCCTCAAAATTTCACCCTTGACCCCATTCACCCATTGTGGTGTCATACTTGAAGTGCCATGAAAATGTCAGGAAAAATAGCCATTATGGATTTCCAAGAGCATCTCAAAGCAGTGCTTACAGTTATGTCCTCAAGAAAAGGGGTAAAAGAATGAACACTATTCCAATTGCATTTAGAAATTTTATTGCATGCATGAACAAAAAAACAGCAAAAAGTGTTTATTGCTGCCTCTAAATGTAGCAAAGAAAAGACTAAAAGCAGGAGAAGTTGACTGCAGAAAGAAACAAACCTGGGCAAGAATGTCATTCATACAATCACTAGCATCTGCATCTCCTTGGCCCAATACACGCAATAGTTTAAGCAAACGGATATGGAGGAAAGGATCTGTAATCCCAGCAATGTCATATTCTGGTGCATATGGACTATTGACAGCATCCCTTAAAACTTTAACCAAACTCTCCGTGCAACGCTGTGATGAATGAAAGAAAACCTTATATTAGTAAACTTTAAGGAAAGAAAAAGAAAAAAGCAACTTGTATGGATCAATAAGATGCAATATACATTGAAATGTCAAAGACTGCATAAACCAAAGAACTTAAGGAACAAAAAAAATTGATGGAAGGTTTTCCAATTAGAATAAAGTCCAACACTTTTTAACAATAACAATAAAGTGACAATATGCCTATTCTTAAAAGTGCAACTAATTAAAACCATGGTAAGAAGCAACGGACCAATGAGATGAATCAAGTCAAATTATTGGCTTCAGGGATTAATTCCAACATGAGAAGGAAACTTTTAAATACTCAAAAACATAACCAGATCTGCTTTCAACAAACATATTTCACCAAGTTCCAAATGAAGATTATAAGAAAAAAAAGGATTTGCCATTTACTACACAAGGCTATCAGCAGCTCCACCAAACTAATTGATATTGTTATTATCTAGAATCCTTTCAAGTAGTGCAAAGCATTCAAAACACTACCAATTATCAGCATTTTGAAGAAGCCCATGCATTTATATACACCATAGAAAATATATGACTGGATCAAATTTTCACTTTTTTATTGTTGATCAAAAATTAAGGGGCAGGGCATGCTGTAAAATATTTATGACTTGGCCAATGAAACACTAACAAATTTTCAATACTGCTCAGAATAGACTGCAACACTTGAATTTTTACACTGAAATTCAGAATTGTGCCTAAAGTGAAAGTCATCAATGCCCTGCCACATAAAAGTATCACATCGAGCTGCATCATTTGAAGGTTTTGAGATATAAGACCAAATTTACCACATTAAACCAGTTCTAAAACCTTACTCATAAGAGCATGCCAGCATGGAATTAAATTCTCCTGAAACTTTCCAAAAATTCACATTTTAAAGGGACCTCAAATATTTACCAAGGCAATTTCCAAAATGATACATTGTTAGCACTTGGCAATATATTGAAATATTACTTAGAGAACACTATAAAGGTTCAACCGTTCAAGTTATCTCTTGTTAGGCATTTCATATAGCTTCTCCAAAACCATAATATAGACATTTTAGGTACTAGGGGTTCAATGCCACCTTTGATGGGAATTAGCCATAACTTGATAAGAACTGCTTGAAGGAAGACTTCAGCATGAAGTTTTCTCGACTCTAGGCAGTTTTCCCCATCAAGAATGGTTCATTTATGGATTGAGTGGCAGAACTAGGACCTAACAAGAGGTAAATTGATAAGAAGAGGTTTAGAAAACCATACAGACAGTTGTGTTCTGTGCCCGGATGCCTGTGGGCCTTGGAAACTGACGGATCATCTCTTTATTAACAGCCCTTGGAGTGCCTTAATATGGGTCTATTTCTTATAGCTTCTTAATCTAAGCTCATGTATTCTAGAAGTGGCAGAGGCACTCTCAGGTCGGTATATAAAAGGCCTAAGCAAGAAAAGTAAGACAGTATGGAGCTCCATACTTAGCAGCCAATTGGGCAATATTGGCAGAACATGGTGCATACGTTTTCAGGAACAAATTAGCCTGAGATAATTTAGTATCAAGAAGATACACGATATTTTATTTCCTAATCTCATGTCCCTTTGTTTCTAGTATTTAGGAGTTTCTTCTCCCTCTTTTTGGTTGCAGGTGAGTGCCCCCTGTGGAGTTGGTAACATTTTTATAACATCCTTTTCCCCCTTCTAAGAAGAGAGGGAAGATACTATGGAAATGTATAAGAGAAATTATTATATGGTCATTTGGGTAGAGAGAATGCAAGAACATTTGAAGAGAAAAGACTCACCAAAGAAGTAGTGATTGTAAACATTTGCATCAATATTACCTATTGGGTAAAAACAACAGAAATCTTTGCCCACTTTTCCTTTAGGCTCAGTTTGGGAAGAGTGCAAATACAAGGTTTAGAAATAACATATACAAAGTTTTGCACTGAACATATTTGTGTCTGTACTCTTCCCAAACCAAGACTTAATGGCATAATTAGAGGATGGCAAATTATTGCAACATCAGGTCTGGTAAAGTACGTACCTAACCATTGGACCCTACCTTCTAATTTTCTCAAGCTGAACTTTGATGTGTATAGCATGGGAGATCTAGGAGAATTAGGAACTAGGGGAGTGTTTAAATATTGTATAGGGCATATTTTGACCATTTTCTCTAGACTTCTGAAAATCATAATTGTATCGTAAATCATAGAGAAAGTTAAATCGAATCAAATCAAATACTGAAACATATTGTAAATCATAAGATTTTTTTTCTGTTGTTTACAAACTTGTTAAAAAATAAAATAAATATGCATAGACATGGGCAACATAAGTACTTTCTATTAGTTAAACTAAATTCACAAATCAATGCATAACACCTCAGATGTGGGCTTCAAAATTTTCAGAAAGGAATTCAGAAATTGCATCTTAATATCCAAGATATTCCTTTTTGTTAACTATCCCTGTGATTTTGCCAAACTAGAAATCATGCCTTCAAGTGGTTCAATTTGGCCAATGCATGGGGCCTGTGGAGTACTTCAGAAGCTTAAACAAAATTCAAAACACTCTATAGAATAGTTGTTGCATAAGAATGAATTATAGGTAGCATGTAGTGTGGCCTATAGCACCCAAATACCTTTCTAAAGTACTCAAGGGCCTCCGTGCTGATTTTACATAAATCTGTACAAAGCTGAACTCCAGTAATTAGAACTCCATGATGCTTTTCTTTAAGCAAGGCAGCAGCTGGACTTATAAAATTCTCTGCCAGGTCGGGAACTTTCTTTATAATCCTTATAGAACACAATGCCGCCTAAACAGAAGAGCAAGGAACCATCAACCACAACCATGAAAGAAACAAAGCAAGGTAGGAGAAAAGAACAAATAAACAAATAAACTCGTCCCATAATTATTAATGATATAAAATGAAAATAACTGCGTGAAAGCAGGGAAAAAGAAAACTAGTTTGAGAATGTTAGATCTACAAACCATTAATTTGAGAAAAGAAGAAAATCACAAAAGGTCAATATTTTTAGTCTTTGTAAAGTTTCTCTTGCAAGCAAGAAAAGAAAAATACTTATAAGTATGGTTTGAAACTTTGGGCTTGGTTGGTCACAGATCATTTTTCTGCATCTTTTCCGAATAATTATGGTCCATCCTCTCTCAAATTAATGTAACTGCCCATAAAAATTAATCAAAAATTTGACCAAAGAAAAGACATGTTTCACTAAAGCAAGAATTACTTTTTTCCGAATGTTGGGATCTCGAAATTGAAGCAATCTTTCCACTTCAGGTGCAAGATCACGAGCCATTTCTGCTGAACAAATATTACCTAGAGCACAAAGAGCAAGCCCCACGATATACTGGTTTGAATGATTTAGGTCTCTGTGCAGATGTTAAGGATTCTCTTCAAAGTAAAGCATATTCCTTTTTTTCCTTTGGTTTCCTTCATACGTAAGAGAAAGAATCTTTGATTCATCCAAAAAGAACAAAAACGAATATACTTAGCTCATTGTGAAGTGGTTAATTACCATAAAGGAAATTATGCAATTAGTCAATTAGTTAAGCACATTACTAGCAATCAGTTAAAATCATAGGATACTGTTTCAGAGAGTTTGTAACCAGCATCAGAACTTCTTGTCTTTCATCAAGAAGCAACATGAGACCAAGATATCCTATCCTCTTTTCTGGAAACCCAGAAGATGCTATCAACTTTAAGCACTCCATTTGACCAAAATGTGTGGGATAACCAAGCATGTGAATGAACATGAGCTTTGCCAGGTTTCGGTGACGATAATCTTGGTCATTCTCACTAACTGCAGCACGAATGGCAGCACATTCCTTTCTCACAACTGCACGTTCTTCTGCAGCAGTTTTGCAAGCGCGTATTGCTCGAATCATATCCCTGCATTGAAACAGAAAGTCTATATCAGATGAATGTGATATGAACAAGGTCAAGCAAAGCAATCAGGTCTATTAGCTGATAAAATAAAAGATAATTCACAAAAACTATGATAGTTTGGTTATTTTCTTCAGCACCAACACCAATGGCAGTAAACAAATAAATGGAGACCAGCTCAATTAAATGCTTATTGGTAGTTCAAAAATGAAAATGTGATTCATGGAAGTGTTTTCAGACACTTGGATTGGACTGGACAGTGATAATAGGACCTTTCAGGTCAGGAACAAGCAGCCAAAACAGATTCTGTGATGCCTGGTTCTTACAAATGTTGGATTGATCAGAGTTCCCCCAAATACATATGTTAATAGGTGCTATAACCTATATTATTTATTATTTAAGCTTATTTTCATGTAAAATAGCTTAAAAGATAGTGTGAATCCGTTTAGAATTTTCATAGTTTTTATTTTTTCACAATTTTTATTTAAGTTGAGCTGTCAGATTATTCAACACGTGACCCTGTAATCAAAATGGTTCTGTCCAGTAACAATGACAATTGGGAATTTTTGGAGTACTTGATGAGAATGAACCTTCGCCAGAAATGGAGGAATTAAATGAAGGTGTGCATCTCTACTCCAAGATTCTCCAAAGGACATCTGACTAATTCTCAAAACATCCAGGTAGGCCAAACCCTCCCAACAAATCCAAAACCTCAAAATCCAAACCCCATACAAAGCGAAAAGAACCAACTTGTGAATAGCAAACAACCCAAAAACAAAAGCACGTACAATACCCAAAGCAAACAACCCCCCCCACCCAAGACCCATTGCGAAAAACCAAACCCCCAATGAATTCCAAATAAAAAAACTACTTGTTAATTTTTTTTATTGCAAACTTCCTGTTGTCTTCTGGCTGCGCTTTTGTGTTTCCTTACTTTCTTGTTAAGGTCCAAGACCAAACAAACCTCCTTTTATCCTTGTGAAAACCTACTTGAAAGTCTAGATTCCTATACAAAAGGGGTAAAATAACTTTATTTAAAAGAATCCTTGAAATCTTACCTGCCTACTATATGTCTATTCTCCCTATTCCCGGGCCTGTGGCCAATAGGTTGGAGAATGCAATGAGAGACTTTCTTTGGTCAAGTTGGAACAATCAATCAAAAGCCCACTTCATTAAGTGGGATTGAGTTGCAGTCGCAGACCTGTCAAGTGTTGTGGCTTGGGAATAAGAAAGGTGAGGAATTTCAATTTATCTCTACTGTGCTGCTGGTTGTGGAGATTTTCTAATGGTTCAAATGGCCTCTGGAGAAAGATTATTGTGGACAAGTGTGGTCTTCAAAGCAGTGGGTGAGATGCCAATGTTCCTGAGTCCCCATATGGAGGGGCATTTGTAAGGTGTTTCCTCATTTCATCAATGGCATTAAGTACAAAATTGGATCTGGTAACAGAGTTAGATTCTGGAAGGATTCGTGGTGCAATGACTCCCCTTTGAAAGCCTTATTCCCTGACAGACTTGTACCAGATTGCAGGAAAATAGTGGGTTTGCTTGTGATTTACTTCATCTGTGGTGTATTGCTTGTAATTCAATTCATTCTACTTTATTCTACCCAAATAGATCTTTGTTATTACTGGGTACAATTTTTTTCTAATCCCAGTTTGAAGTTTTTTTTTATAATTGAAAGTTGATTTCATTAATCAAATAGAATAAGACTTTACAAGCATCCCTTGAAGAGGCACGAGGTGCAGCCTCTCCTAATCATTACAAGAGATCAGAAATAAAGATTACCAAGCTGCATAAAATAACCCACCCCTAGAGGACCCTTGTTTAGCAAGAGAGTCAACCAGAGCATTTGCCGACCTACCCACCCATTGGACTCTAAATATTATGTTTCTTGTTAAGCATTTGACTTTTTTTATGAAATCCCTATAACTCCAAATGACTGAATCTGGATTCGAGAACCAGGCCAAAATCACCTGAGTCCCCTTCAATTAATAATTTCTCCACTCCAAGTTGGTTGGCAATCTGGATCCCTTGTACTGCAGCCAATAACTCAGCCGTTGTAGAATACCCTATTCCCACCGGACCTGAGAACAGCCAGTTTGAAGGTTGAAGATTGATATAATCTTCTTTATCTTTCTTTCATCTAATTCCATACAAAAAATAAATAAATAATTTAAAAAAAAATTGCATTCTCTTCAACGGTTCAACCTCTATATCGACCACCATTTTTTCTATCAATAACAGAATTTTATTATATTAATATATAAAAACAACAGTACAGCAATCAGAGAGAGTTAAAAAGGCTTAACACTCCCAAGAAAGCAACAACAAGCTCACAAATACAGCCCAGTACAAATGAACCCTTCCCACACCCTGCTTTGCCAAAGCATCTGCAAAGGCATTTGCTGTTCTTTTCACCCACTGAGATTGTATTTCCATCTCCCTAGTTAGTCATTTGATTTCCTTTCTTTCATTAGTGAACTTCCAAAGGCCACTCCCCCTCTGCATCCAGATCAACACCAACTTTGAGTCCCCTTCAATAATTAATTTTTGTATATTCAGTTCCTTGCTCTTTCTAATACCTTTCAATACAGCATAGATCTCAGCTCTCAAAGAATCCCCAATCCCAATGGAGCCTGAATACAATGCCAACACTTTCCCCTCCTCATCTCTGAAGACACCTCCTACACCTGAAGGGCCTGGGTTACCTTCACTACTTCCATCAAAATTTAGCTTTATCAACCACCATCTTGATCTCTATTTTTTATTGCCTTGCACTTCTTCATCCAATTGAATGCCACCAGCCCCTCCTTGAATCCAATTCTAAAACGTTTGATCTGATAAGGGTCATCCTCAGCCATGTTCCCACAATTCTTCTCATCACTAGGAGCTTTATCTTCTACCCTGTCTCACACTGGATGCCTAAATCCTACCCAATGTCTATTTTGACCATTACCTCCCTGAAAGATCCCATTCAATTAAACTCAGCCAATGAATTATCAAGCAGTGACAATTCCTCATATTGGCAATTTCTACATCCCTGACCTTTGATCCTCTTTCTCTCATAAACTCTGTTGAACTTCTAACATGGGCATGCACCACACAAGCAACTCTTCAACCTTGAGAACTTTTTAGTTACATGCACCAAGATTGTTGGTGCCTTTAAAATGATTCCCAGTACTTCTAAGGTTCTCCTTGGCAAGAAACCTTTGCTGCTAACCTTACCTCATGAACATCACCGTTTTTGGCATTCTGCACTCTTCCACTAATCCAACCCAAATCCACCCCTAACTTACCAATTAGAACCTCAAACCACTCACCTTGCCTATGAGAATGTGACATTGTCCACAAATCAGGACAGTATTTTCTGTGAACTCATATCTTGATAAATGGTGAAGAGAAACCAAACTCACCTATTGTGAGAATGCAGGTTTCAGTCTGAGAGTAGCCACTTAATGCTAATATATTCCAAAGGTTAGGTCCGTATCTAGCCAACCCTCCCAAGAGCCCAGGTTGCCGAGACAAACACTGGGTAATGGCCCTTTATTTTAATGCTTTAGAACAAACACTCCTGAAAGGGCAAGACTATTATAGGCCCTGTAATTTTTCCAGGAAATAAGTTATCTTCTTTTAGAGCAATCACTCATGAATTGTAATGGCCCTTAATTGAAGCAAACACTCCTACAGCAACAAGACTATTATAGGTCCCATAATTTTTTCCAGAAAAAAAAAATGTCTTCCTTCAACTTGATCTAGTCAATTGCCTCCATGAGTAAGTGAGCAACTTGCTTGCCTTCTAATCCCAATGCTAAACCTAACGAAGAATTCAAAGCAGTGCCCACGTGCTTCTTTAAGTCCCCGTGTTCTCCCCAAGCCATAAACTCACCAATAGACAATCAATAAGAAAAGAGACCATGTCAACCATAGAGAAGGAAAGTTAAGTTGGTGACTGTTGGTTCCTAGAACTATAGATAGGGGACCCGCTTGGATCAGGGAGTTAAAAGGGAGGCCGTTTATAGGAACAATTTGACAGCAAGCCTTATGTATTTTTTCTCTTGTTCGTTCCTAGAACTATGAATATGGAATAAGAACGAAATAAAATCACCCGAATCTTAGCACCATTTAACATCACGTTCCTCTTCTTATCAAGACAGGTTCCGTCCCCCTTGCTCTAGGAGCAATAAAAATAATAATCTCCCATAGGTGTGCCATAATGCAAAAGGTTGAGGTCATCTGCACCCTACCTAATGGAAGACGTCCAGGAAACATCCTAACACAGAAGATTGTATTTGAGAGTATACGGCGTGAATCGAGCATTTTCACCTGCATCTCGTTTTGCAGTGGACAAATCTAGTTTCAATTTCTAATTTAGCTCTAACCAGACTCCAGTGACAATTCCAGATTAAGCAAAAAAACATAAAATAGGAGGAAAAAATGCACTTTTTTCCACAAATTTGGTTTCATTTCCCCACAGAAATGTATCCGTTGGTAAGAATTCTAATGCCATTGATTATCAATCCCATTGCTATCATAGAGAAGCCAATTGAAATCCGCGGTAGTTCAACCACTCTAAGCTCACATCTCGCAATCAATAAGGGTCATAAACACAAAATCAACATTTTCCGCATACTCGATCTAACAAAGAGGAAACAGTGCTTCGCCACTTACCGCAACCGCGTTCCTGAAGAGAAAGGATTCATGATTTGGTCCCTTGTGAATATCCGGGGGAGCTCGATCCGATCCAAATAAGAACAGAAGCGGGGAAATCTCAATCACGAAAGAAGCCGAAGATCGAAAGTTAGAAGGGATGGGAGAAGACAAAGGTCAAGATCCGAGGTGACAATTTGAGGGAACGCAGTGGGATGTAAGAGAATGAGAGAGATTCAGAGGAGGGATTTGGATCGGGGAAAGATATAGTGCTACTGAGAGAGCTATTTGTTTCCGCGATGGTTTTTTTCTTTTTCTTTTATGATTTCTCTCCCGTCTGTCCTGTAAACGGAAGGATGGGAGAGAACAGATCTTCGAATTCAAGGCTTTAATTCCATAAATTTAATCAAAATTATTTATTTTTATGAAACGCATGTACCATTGTGAATTAATCCCAACACAACGTCCTCACGAGAAGTCGAACTCCGGACCCAGTTGAATGGACCTTGAATGGGTTTTGGGCCGTAAATTTTGTTTACAGTTCAGTAGATCTGTAGACATGGCCCACCTGCGGTTCCATCGAAGGTTCGAAATCGAAATACTCGAGATCATTTTTCATCTACGATTGAAATCGCTGGAAAACAATGACGACTCCACGGACCACACCAACACGTATCGACGGAGAAAAATGTTCCTAACCAAGGTTGCGTTTGGGTCAAGAATGCATTTTAAGTTTCATTTGGTTCTAGAATGTGCCACAAGTGGAATTATTATTTGATATTAGAGGTGTAAATCAGGTCGTGCCAGTCTTTGGCGGGCTGTGTTGGACCATGCTTGCCTCTTCTTAGATACTTCAGAGGTCAGGCCCGGCACAGCCTAGAACACGAGCTCAGGAGGGTTCAGGCCGGCTGGGTCGTAGGCTAAGCTAGGCCATGAGAGGCATATTTTAAAAAAATAATGAAAATTTTAAAATAAATTAACAAAATAGACAAAAAAATGAAAAAAAAAACCTTGAGATTTTATTTTATATGAAATTTGATGTTTACAATTGTTTATATATGAGATAATAAAATGAAATTAAAAAAAAATATATAATACAATTGGAATAAAATAGTATAATGAAATTGAATATATATATATATATTATAATTATTGTTACCTATAGAATTATATATATACATACATGCATACATATATATATACATAATTATATAATATATATGGATCGTGTTCCAGGCCAGGCCGCGGGCCCGTACCAGCACAGCTCGTGTGCTACAGTGGCTGGTCGTGCTGGCCCAGCCCATGTCGTGTAGACCACGAGAAGCATTGCCTGATTTACAGCTCTATTTGATGCCAATTGAGTGATGGCTAAGCTGGTATGTTAACTGGTTCGCTCCAGGCCTCCAGCATAAACACGGGCTCAATTCCCACAACTACCAACTTTGGAGAGGGGGACTGGGGGTTAATACTTAATAGTGGTGCATATCTCTAAACTACCAAAAAAAAAAAAGGTGGAATTGTTGTTTGATAAATTGTTGATATTAAGGTGTCAAATTGTCAATGGGGTTTTGGATTCCACCTTGTCCAAATCAAAACCAATTTAGACAAATAGGACAAACCAATAGACATATTAAATTGGACCCGTCCAGGTTTAATGGTTCAAAATATTTATTGGATTGGATTGGACCTAATCCATCCATAATAGATTTATATTAGATTGGATCAATCAAACCAAATAAATCATCTAATTTATTGATAGAAGATAAAAATATATGTGTCAATAAACCAAATTTGCATTGGAACCCATCAAAATTAAAATCAATTTGAACATATTAGAGAGTTTAGGCATTAAACTGAACCGATCTAAAATAACCAAAAGTATCCATCAATTGGATCGGATCTAATCCATTTATAATGGTCTTCTATTGGACTGGATCGCATTGGACCAAATCAGGTCCGATTGACACCTCTAATCCATGGTTTCATAATCAGGAGGAAAATGGACATTTGTTAACACGTGATTTACGGCATTCCCACCCATGCAATATATGGTAAAAAAAATGGGGTTTTTTGGCATGTTAAAATAATATACATAAGACAAGTGATTGGTATATATTACACATTAGAATCGTACTGCATAGCGCTGAGATCTCTATCCAAAATGACATTCGATCGATATTAGCCGTATGATCAAAGGCCTGTGGTGAGAGATAAAATTTTTACAAAGAAAAATGTTACAACGTGTTTGATCAAAAACAAAAACAAAACAACATATACAATACCGTATAGTCCAAACATAACCAGTTAACCACTACCTCACTAATAGAATGCCTTACATGTCTGAAAATGGGATCTCGATCCATTTTATAGGAAGAAAAAATAAATTGATTCATTTATTGAACCATAACATTTTTTAGAACCATCAACCAAACACCGCCTAAATAACAGCCTCCATGTACTACACCTTTTTATTAAATTTCCATATATTACACTTACAGATTAGAGGAGCACTTGCACTGGCTTCATGTCCAGAGCATAGGATTGAAATCAGAATTATTTTATTAATATCATACAATGTTAATGTTTATATATGATAGTGCCTCCAATATTTTAAATTTTAAATATAATCTATGAGTTAGGGCATTTAAAGAAAAATATATTTTAAAAATCTAAATATTCTTCTATCTTTTTGCCTTTTTATTTTTACTTTGAACACATGCAAGGCATATATTATTCCACTAGTTTTAGAGAAAATGGTTAAAATTTAGGAAATGCCTTTTGGACAACAAAAATATGAGGGGAATAACTAGTAAATATTTTTTCACCATATTTCTTTAGATGTCTTTAACTCATTGATTGGGTTTAAATATTAAAATATTTCGACAAGCACTAGTTGCAAACATTGACATTATACGATGGCCATTAAAATATTTACAGTTTAGCTTTTATGGTCTAAGACATCAAGGCAACACAAGCATCAGCATTATGCAATAAAGACATGACAAATCCAAATCTATCGTGTGCATGTATTTAAGTCTTATTTGTTTTTTCAATAAGTTATTTATCTAGGTAAATCTTTCCTGGAAAATACTTACCTGATTAAGTGCATTTATTCATGTTCTTTTATTTTATAGGTAAATATGGTAATGACCATTTTAACCATAAAAAGTCATTATTAAAATGGACATTTTTATTCCCATTCAAGTATTAGTGACTTTTCCCCGGGTGAAAACATTATTTACCCACTTAGGATATAGATATCACTTATTCGGGTAAGCGGTACCCAGTTTCTTGGTCCCTACATAAATCTGAAATAAGAACATAGGTTTCTTAATCAATGGAAATCAAAATCCCATTGACCAACTTTCCCCCCTCTCAAAATTCAAAAAAAAAAAAAAAAGAATGCTCCTTTAAAGGGTTACACACACATCAATATTTTGGCTTTAATAACCCCTGAATTTTACAAAAAGGTCAATTTCAACCATTAGTACGGTTATGTGGCAATGTTAAAGTTTGAAAAATACCACTTTTAACCCTAAAGTTTGAAATTTGGCCAATTTAATAAAGTTAATTAAGTAATTACTTCAAGGTCTAATCAAATGACCCTAACATATTTAATTTATTTAGTTAAATTAAATAAATTATACTAATTTAGATAATTAAGCAACTAAATCAGTAAATTAAATTAAATAAATGAAGGTAATCAACTAAAAATGGCCATAAAGCATGGCATTTAGGGGTTCGTTTTGTTTGGTCCAAATGGATCAATCCATGATGCTTTGAAAAAAAATGACCTAAAAAACCATTTATCGGATTGAATAATGTAGCAGTTCAACCATTTTGGGTCAGTTGTTTGTTGAAATTTCAAGCGATCAAACTGTTCAACCAAAGAAATAATCAATTGTCTAGTTCCATTTTATACCTAGGTGGTAGAACCATTCAACCCAAGAACTGGTCAATTGTCTGATCCATAAACTTTTCAAAAAAAAACATTGATTTGGTTAACAAACCATTGTCCCATACGATTCAAGTGCTAAATTATTCAATATATTAAATGGTTTTTAAATTATGATTTATTTTAATTATATTTTAATTTTTAATGTCATGGGTTGATCCATTTCAATTATATATTTTTGTTAATTATTTATTATTTATTTGCTTTTATTTTAATTAATCTAATTAATTAACTTTGTCTCTTAATTAATTTAAGGGAAAATTCCCGATAGGTACCCTATACTTTAGGTCGAGTACCAACTTAATACCCAAACTTTAAAATGCCACAATCTAGTATCCAACCTTTTATTTTGCAACAATCAAGTAGCTACCGTTAATGAACCGTCAATTATATATATCACATGACCTCATGTGCGATTTAAGACTTTTGAAAATGTCAAAATTCCCTTTTGAGATCTGCCTTTCTTAATTATGTTTCTCGATCTTCTTCTTTCAAGATTCGGAGGTGAGTTATAGTTCTTTATTCATGTTCTTCTTTTCATTCGTCGCTATCATCTTTTTAACTAATTGTGCTTAGTTGCTTACTGGTGCTAATCAAGGTTTCGTGGTCGTCCTTTCGTTGTTTGAGTTATGCTCTTGCTTATTTTGTGGTCAGTGCTTTTTTATTTTGAGAAAGCGGTGCCGTGGAGTTCTTTGTTCGATTTTTTTCCCGTTTTCCTGCTTTGGTTATGTTTTACGATTGTCTGGTTTCATCTTTTATGATTTGGGTTGAATCGATAATTGTGTTCCACCCAATGTTGATTATATGATATTTTTGTTTACAGGTTTGCCTTTTCTGTTGTCTTTTGTTTTCTTCTTTTCTTTCTTGACCTTGTGTGTTTGAGAGATGTTGATTTTTTCGCTTATTGTTTTTCTTATTTTCTCTTCATCTCATTAGTTTTTTTTTTTTTTTTCATTTGGACTCAACGGTTCATGTAAAGGTTATTCTACTATTGCTCACTAAAGTCTATCTGAATTATAGGCTAATGGATCAGTACCAGAACGACGAGCATGAATACATGGTTGATGATTACTATGACTTGATTGATTTCGAGGATGATCCTTTTGAAGAAACATAGCAAAATAGAAATTGAGAAGATACGGATTTTGAAGACGACTTCGACATGGTGTGTTTAGAGGATTGTAATTGGCTCTTTACTAAATTTATTTGACCTTAGAGTCGAAGTAATTGATTTGATTTGGGCTTTGGCTTTGTTTTTTATCTTGTTTCAGAATAAGGCGAAGCCTGATACTTCGGCTCTTGAGGCTCAAAATGGAAAGGATATTCAGGGAATTCCATGGGAGAGGATGAACTTTACGAGGGATAAGTACCAAGAGACGAGATTGAAGCAGTACAAAAATTTCGAGAGCCTCTCCCACCCTCGCGGAGAGATTGC